CTGCTGCTGTTGCTGCTGCTGCTGCTGCTGCTGCTGCTGCTGCTGCTGCTGCTGCTGCTGCTGCTGTATAGGTCTGAGGCCGGCCAGTTTGTGGTTTGCAGCAGCAGCAGCTGCTGCAGCCTCGCCCGCTGTCTCAGCATATCCATGATGAGGGTGTTTGTCTCCGTCTGCTGCTGCTGCTCTCTCTCCTCTCCCCACTCTGCTGCAGCAGACAGCAGGTCCTGCTGCTGCTGCTGCTGCTGCTGCTGTTGCTGCTGCTGCTGCTGCTGCTGCTGCAGGCCCATCTGCAGCATCCCTGTGGTGAGGGTTGTCATCGCCTCCATTGTGAATCTGTCTCTGCGTGTCTCCTTTTTTGCTGCAGCAAACCTCTCCTCTCGCTGCTGCTCTTCTGCTGCTGCTGCTGCTGCTGCTGCTGCTTCTGCTTCTGCTTCTGCTGCTGCTGCTGCTTCTGCTTCTGCTGCTGCTGCTGCAGCAGCCCCTTCTGCTGCTGTCTCCTCAGCTTCTCCCTCTCCCTCCTGCGGATCTGCGTACGCCACGAGACTCCACTGATTTTCTGCTGCTGCTGCTGCTGCTGCTGCTGCTGCTTCTGCTTCTGCTGATGCTTCTTCTGCTGCAGTTGTGTCTGTCTCTGTCTCTATTTGGGTTTCTGTGTTGTCTTCTATCTCTCCTCCTTCGGGTGAGCAGCAAACAGCTGCTGCATCTTCATCTGCTGCTGCTGCATCTTCATCTGCTGCTGCTGCTGCTTCTGCTGCTGCTGCTGCTGCTGCTTCTTCTTCTGCTGCTGCGTCTTCTTCGTCTGCTGCTAATTCTGCTTCTTCTTCTGCTGCTGCTGCTGCTTCTGCTGCTGCTGCTGCTGCATCGTCTGCTGCTTCTTCTTCTGCTTCTTCTTCTGCTGCTGCTTCTTCTTCCTCTTCTGCTGCTGTTGCTGCTGCTGCTGCTCCTTCTCCCTCCTCTTCTTCTTCTTCTGCTGCTGCTGCTGCTGCTGCTGCGTCTTCTGCTGCCTCTGCTGCTCCATCTATCTCTGTCATTGCCTCAGCAAATGCTGCGTGCTGCTGCTGCTGCTGCTGCTGCTGCTGCTGCTGCTCTTCTGCGTATTCAGCAAACCCTTCTTCCTCTTCTTCTTCGTCATGTGCTGCTGCTGCTGCTGCTGCTGCTGCTGCTGCAGGCTTTCGCGTTACTTGTTTGTATTTTAGCTGCTGCTGTGGGGCTGTGTCTGTCT